TCGTGCGTGAATTGATTCAACTACAAAATTCCTCATCGAAGCAAAAAAAAAGACAATTACCGAAACATGCGTGTGGTTACGAAAGATCTCAATATTCTTCCACTCGATTTCTCTTCTTCTTCTTCTGCATCGGTGAGATTTCCATCTCCAGATTCGTTTCTACTCTTCACTGTCGAATCGATTCCTGAAACTTACTAAGGTTTTATCGATTCTGGTTGAATTGGGATTTGTGTCCTTTCATTTCTCTGGATCTTCAGTTTTTTCAGTTAGTAAGCTTGTAGATGGGTTTTATCTCGTGGTTTCTTGCAGATGTGGAATCGAATATTTTATTGGACCAGTTCTTGAGGCTTATGCTGATCTATGTCGGATTCAGAAAGACTAAAAAATAGGGATTTTTTTTTGTGGGTGTCGGAATTAGTGTTGTGTTCTGGATTGTAATTCCGATTTTTCTATTTAAAACGCAACTAATTGTCGGAATTCATGATTGTGATTCTGCAGCGATTCTTGATTTATCAATCATGGGTTCTGTAATGAGCTTGAGCTGTTCCAAGAGGAAAGCGACTAGTCAGAACGAGGAATTGGTAAGCGAACCTCGGAAAAGGCGAAAAACATGTTCACCGGATGATGAAGATAACTGCAGATTGATTCCTAGTCTTCCGGATGAGTTATCTATTCAGATTCTTGCTAGGCTCCCTAGAGTATGTTACTCTAGTGTTCGGTTGGTTTCTCGGAGGTGGAATTCAGCTGTATCGACCACTGAGGTGTATACTTTGAGGAAAGAGCTCGGGAGGACCGAGGAATGGCTCTATGTGCTGACTAAAGGTCAAGAGGATAAGCTTTTATGGTATGCTTTAGATCCTGTTTCTACGAAATGGCAGAGATTGCCTCCAATGCCGGTTATTGTTTACGAAGAGGAATCTAAGAAGAGTTTATCTGGTTTGTGGAATATTGTTAGCCCGAGTATTAGAGTTGTTGAGATTGTGAGGAGCTTGCTCGGTAGGAAGGATGTCTCTGAGCAAATGCCGTTTTGTGGTTGCGCTATTGGCGCTGTTGATGGGTGCCTTTATGTCCTTGGCGGGCTCTCGAGGTCTAAAACCGTGAGCTGTGTTTGGCGGTTTGATCCGATTTTTAATTCTTGGAGTGAAGTGAGTTCTATGTTGGCGAGCCGCGCGTATTCCAAAACAGGCGTGTTGAATAAAAAACTGTATGTTGTGGGAGGGGTTGATCGTAGACGGGGAGGTTTATCTCCGCTTCAAACAGCTGAGGTTTACGATCCAAACACGGATACTTGGTCAGAAGTTCCGAGCATGCCTTTCTCAAAGGCGCAAGTGTTGCCAAATGCGTTTTTGGCTGACTTATTAAAGCCTATTGCCACGGGAATGACTTGCTACAATGGTAGGTTATGTGTTCCTCAGAGTTTATACTCTTGGCCTTTCTTTGTTGATGTTGGAGGAGAGGTGTATGACCCTGCGACAAATCTCTGGGTTGAAATGCCGTCTGGTATGGGTGAAGGCTGGCCAGCGAGGCAAGCAGGTACTAAACTGAGTGTCGTGGTGGATGGTGAGTTATACGCTTTTGATCCTTCTTCTTCGATGGAGAATGGTAAGATCAAAGTATATGATCAAAAGGAAGATACATGGAAGGTTGTTATCGGGGAAGTCCCTGTTTACGACTTAACAGATTCAGAATCTCCTTATTTACTTGCTGGGTTTCACGGAAAGCTTCATTTCATTACTAGAGACCCTAATCATAACGTTACAGTCTTACGAGCTGATGTCCCGGAGATCCCAATCTCATCATCATCTAGCTCCAGTTCTGCTCCGGTTTCATACTCTTCGAGTGAAAAGACCAATGTACCAAACAAGTCAGACACTGTTATCTGGAAAGTTATTGCATCCAAGGACTTTGGTGCTGCGGAACTGGTTAGCTGCCAAGTTATAGATATATAGAAAAACAGAAGATTTGACCCATTTCTCGTGGGACATTGAGAATCTCTTGAGTACAGCTAGAAGCGAAAATTTGAAGCGTATGAGATCTTCTTCCGTAAGATTTTATCGTCTAATTTTTCGATGATCTAGATTCTATATTCTTCTGCTGGCTTTAGCTGCCAAAGTAAGCTTGAGCAATAAAAATGTTATGTAACA